GCTAGGCGCTTTTTGAACTAAAAGTACTAGAGGGGTCTGAAAAGTTGGCAACACTGCTCTTTGCATGGTTTGTTTTCAAATGGTTTGCTGCTGTCTGTTTGGACCTTTCTGAACATGTGCAGCAAATGGACTGATCCAATATGGTGGACACTGAAGGGGGGGGGGGCTGAGACACACTTAATATTATCAGCGTTCTGATGGCATTTTAGCCAAAGGATTTTTATCAAAAACATAATTAAGGAATAGTTCTATTAACCATACATGGAAACAGAGTTTATGGGCCCCCCAGGAACTTGGGGCCCTAGGCAGCTGCCTGGTATTGCCTAATGGTAAATCCCCCCCTGGTTGCAGCAACAGTCAAAGCTTGTTTTCTGCTGCTGAACATTTAGAAACAGACATTTAAGGAGGCAGAGGTCCTGCTGCATAAAAACCAAACTCTGATTCATCCTGAAAAGGAAAATATAGCAAAGAATGCTTCCCCTCGTTTGGGAAACCTTTCCTTTTAAATAAGACAAATTAAAAGTCTGTCCTTTAAACAGATGCTTTATTATTGTTATTATCAATTCTAAGGAAATAACATTTTTCAGTTCCTGTTTTATGAAGACGGGTCTGTAGTTTCCAGAAGTTTTCTATAAAGGCCTTCTGATGAGATAAGTTCTGAATTGATGGTTTATAAATAAACTGATTGTATTCAATAGAAGTAATTAATTCTAGTTTCTGTATTTCTAAGGAATTTCTCAGTTTATGTTTAACACAGACCGATCCATGCTGTTGTTATTAGAAGCGTTTTATTTTAGTTTCCATTCTTTCAAGGAATGTTTTTCTTTTACAGAAGGCAAAAGTTTTCAGAATTGTTTTAACTGTAACCTGGTCAAGAAACGTAACTGTAGACTATTAGTTCCTCCAGTTTGGAAACAATCCTTTTAAAAAAGGGAACTTTTCAGTTTATCTTTTACCCAGACTGTTTAAACACTGTATCTGCCTGAAGTTTAGTTTCTATATTTCTAGTGAACACAGTTTTACAAACATACAAATCAAAATGACTCCAACAATAGAATTAAAACAGTTAAATATGTAGTTTTGTTTTTTTTACATAAGCCCAGAGAAATATCAGCTGTGCTGCTGCCATGAACAACTTAGATTATAGATGATAGAGTCGGGTCTGTTTTTCAGTGTTTATTCCTGTTTCTCTCCCAGACATACCTGTGGGTCCAGCTTTTACTGTGAGTAACTGAATGTGATCTACTTCGTCGTTTTTTGGTATGAAACTGGCTCAGAGCTCGTCTGTTTAGTTGTTTATTTGCCAGACAGCCACCTGCGGATCTGATCTACATTTTCTAACATAGAAAATATTTATGGATCAATGCTTCAATGCTCCTTTTCTATTTCTAGAACCTCAGTCGGCCTCAGCAGACGGCCGCTCACACTGAGTCCGGTTCTGGTTCTGCTGGATGTACGTTCACATTTAAAGGGAGTTTTCCTCTCCACTGTCACTGCATGCATGCTCTGTTTCAGGGATTGCCGTAGAGTAAAAGGCAAAATACAAATGAATATCTACTGTCTCTACCTGCTCATCCAGGGGGCGAGAATCCTGCAAAGTTAACGAATTAATGCAATCGGATGATTTTCCTTCCATTGAAAAATTTAAACCTCAAATCTGACGTGTTGTGAAGAATATATATAAATTATAAATAAACTGAGCTGAATTTATTTCAAAGGAACGCCGTTTTTTCAATGTGTCTTTTACACAGACAGTCTCAGTCATCTGTGCTGCATCATTTTAGTTATTATTTCCGTAAGAAAAGTTTTTTTTGTATAAATATTTAATTCATCGTATTATACATTTAATATAATACGATGATTAAATAAATAAACCTTAAATCTAAATGGTGAAATCCTTTATTTTTTGTATCTAATCCATTCTTGCTTCATCTTTCAGTTCAGCTATCAGCAGTTTGTTAAATAAATGATCTAAGGGACATTTTTTTTATCAAGTTTTATACGTAGTTTAGAGTTAGAATGCAGGTTTGTTTAATGTTTAGTAAAGTGCCTTGACATGAAATGTGTTGTAAATTGGCATTATAGAAATAAACTGAATTA